GAACCGAACTCACGACCTTGCGCTTGCCAGGCAGGCGCTTTGCCGCTGAGCTAAATCCCCAGCCCCTTGTTATTCATCTTTTAATGTCACTGAACCAGTTAGATGATCCGACTTACCAAATCCTTACCAAGTATACAGTTCCACACTGTTTAATAGCTTGCTGAATGACTACAGGTGACATCTTTGCTCTCAGAAGCCTGCTTTTCCTCACCTGGGAAATAAGAAGCTCAATTACACAACAGTGGGAGAGATGTTGCTTGCCTATCCAAGATGAATTGTGAAATAAAGAGCCACAAGTGATAATAAGCAGCCATATATTTTGGAAGCTTTCACATTCAGTATTTCCCTTTCAGATCTCACATCCCATGCCGTTGCCTTTATGGAGCGTGAAGCTCTGATCAGCTTCTCTAAGGCAGCTCAGGACAATAGCTTCCAGAAAAGTGCACAGAGCCTGTTCTGGGTGATGGCTTCCATGCACAAGTGGGCTTTGTATGTGCCAAATGATGCTTCCACCCTTGAAGTAATTTTTATTTTCTCTGAATACTCATCATCCCCTCAAGTGATTTATGACAGAAACATCAAAACCTTGGTTAAACTTGAGTTTAGTTGATAATTGTTGGATGCTCATGTGAATTTTCAGTGACTTAGTTTTCCATTTTTACTTCTAGTGTTCTATCAATGATGCTGCAGAATTCAAAGTAGTAGCTGATGCCATGAAAGTAATTGGCTTCAAACCTGAGGAGATCCAAACAGTATATAAAATTTTGGCTGCTATTCTTCACTTGGTGAGTAGGGATGCCTCTCAGAATATGTTTTCTTCATAGGGAAGCAGAATGCTCCTTCAGAAGATTTTGGTTTTGTTCCCTGTGGATTTTAAAAAGTTAATTTACTTAGAGAAAACTTTGCTCACATTTTGAAGAAATTAGACTGTGGCTCTTTCCATTATTTTGGGGTTTCCCAAGCCATAAACGTTTTGGCACTGCAGTTTCAGTTTGTAATCTTACTCATATCTTCAAACCGTGAACTGGTTAATTTCAAGGAGAAAATAATTCAGCAATGGTGTGAATTACTAAATGGTGTGAACTACTAAAGGAATGGCTTTCTAATGGCATTTGAAACACAGAATTGTAGATAATTAAAGCTGGATTTTGATCATCTCATTTCTCAGGTTCACAAATGAGACCCCGAGTGTAGCACGGCTGCCGCACAGGTGCAGCCAGCTCACTGTAAGCGCCAGCACTACCAAGCAGTCAGTACACAGGCCTTACACTTCGAAGAAGTGAGGCGGCCATGTGCTGGAGCTCTTTCATTACCCTTAGTATAATCAGACATGTTCGAAATTTTGTGAGCATATAATCTTACATTGTCAACCTGGATTCAGATGTGGCCAAAAATTACCTTTCATTTTAATATAGCAAGATTTAACTCTGAATCAGAAATGTATCAATCTGTATGAAAAATTACATAGCAGTGTATGCAACAAATGAATATCCACAACTAGGAAGACTAATATATATTAATTTGTCTGGTATCTTCAAAGTAGTTTATAAATAATCCAAGTATGAATTTTATTGTTTTTAACTTGGCTTCATTATTTTATCATAAGAAGCAATAAGCCTGTAAGACCAAATACAGCGTATCAAAGAATAGCTTGGTGGAGGAAGGGGAAAGATGCACCTAATTCTAAATTTAAAATTATATTAAAAGCTGAAACACTGTAAAACTTGTTGCACAAATTCAGCATCAGATCAAGTTAACAGATTTTTTGATGTATTAGACATTTGGTAGTTGGTTAATAAGTATTGTTTATTAAGTGAAATAAAATATAAATAAACTCAGACACTTAGGAAATTTAATATGTATAAATAGTGCCATTCAAATCAGGAGGAAAAGCTAGCCATTCAATAAATGTTGCCAAAGCATAACCACCTGAAAAAATAAAGGTAGGTTCTTACATTATAACACACACCAAAATAAATTGAGTGGATTACAGATTTAAATGAATAAAAAAAAAAAACCATTGTGGTATTGGAAGAAAATACCAAATATTCATTAAACCTTTGCAGTAGAAATGGTCTATGTATGACACAAAAGAAAGAGAACCCATTCATAGGTTTGACTGCGTAAAAATGTAGAACTTTTATCAAAACAGATACTAAAAATCAAAAGACAGAAAACTGCCTACAGAAGAGAAAAAGAACAGAAGAAGTGTTAGATTTTTGAATGTTGCCATACCTAGTGTCACTAGAATTATATTTAAATTGACAAATATATTCTTGACATAAAGTTGAAGAATCTCATTGGACATGGTGTGTTTTGTTTTCTCATTTTTGATTCAGGGAAATTTAAAATTTATAGTAGATGGTGACACGCCTCTTATTGAGAATGGCAAGGTTGTATCCATCATAGCAGAATTGCTCTCTACTAAGACAGACATGGTTGAGAAAGCCCTTCTCTTCCGGACTGTGGCCACAGGCCGCGACATTATCGACAAGCAGCACACAGAACAGGAAGCTAGCTACGGGAGAGATGCCTTTGCCAAGGTAAGAGTTTAGCTACGTGCTGTGGGTCTCAGCTGTAGCATGAGCAGACTCCTGTGAGAGGAATCCAGACAAACCCCTGACAGCAGCCTAAGCCTTTTAGAAGTAGGACCTTAGTTTACAAACTTAATTCTTTCCATGGCTCTCGTTGCAAATCAAATTAATCATGAGCCTAATCAAATTCCCACATAGGTCAGCATTGAACCTAACCATTGAATTTGATTTGGTTTGTGACCAGAATTGTGGAAAGAACTAAGCTTGTGAACTGAGGTACTACTACCGTATGATGAGACTTTCTGAACATTACAGGCCCTGACTGTGAATGTCACTGCCAGAAAAGCAAATCTGACCAACCATGGGAATTAGAGACTCAAGGATGTTACCTTAGCATGGTCTGGCTCCAGCCTTTCTTTCTTGCCTCGTTTCTTACTGTCTTCCAGGCACCTGTCTTCATCCCAGCCCACTAGTCTTCTCTGAAGCCTCACAACTTACTTTTATCCCTGTCTCCTTCCAGTCACAGGGCCTTTGCACATGCTGTTTCCTCTGCATGGATTGATCTTCTCTCCTCTCTTGCCTTGCTACCACTTACTTATCCTGCTGACCTCAGCCCAAGCATCAGTTTCTATAAGAAGCTTCCCCTGCCCCACAACACTGAATAAATTAGATTTCCCTCTGCTGCCATGCACTGTTTCTTTAGCAGGAATGAATGTGTGTGTGTATGAGAGAGAGAGAGAGAGAGAGAGAGAGAGAGAGAGAGAGAGAGAGAGAGAGAATGTGTGTATGTATGTATATATGAATGAATGGTTCTTTCCTTCACTCTGCTCCCTAGGCCTTTTGGAGACTGAGATTGTTTGTGTTCACTTAGTACCATATCTCCAACCAACTATTCATAGTAAATCCTCAGCAAATAGTTATTGAATGATGAACGAATGAATGAATGAGTTCCCACACATCTTGTGCAGTTTATTTGGGGCTCAGAGTAGTATAAGAACAGTTTTTAGAGGTGAAAAGGTTAAGAGTCCTGACAAGATAGGAGTTTGAAGTAAATGTGAAACATCTACAAATCATTGTGAGATAGAGAGTCAAGCCCTGAGTTCCGAGCCCAGAGAGTTGGGTCAGGGTTGTGATAACACTTTTGGGGAGTCAGATCATAGCAGCCTTGTTGAACACTGGGTGAGATAACTGAGAAGGTGTTAGAGAGTGAGAAGAGAATCAGGAACAAGTCCAATTTTTAGAGGTCAGGTGGAAGAGGAGACCCTACCAAAGGTCGCCTAGAAAGTCAGCCAATACAACAAAGGAAATTAAGAAAGGATGGTATTATGGATCCCAGAGAGGAAAGTACTTTGAGAGTAGAAAACTAGGTTGAGTGACATGGAGAAGCTAAGATGTCCATGTACTACAAGAAAGTGTGTGTACAGAGGTAACCGGGGTCCCTGGGGAGCCATGTCAGCGACAGAATGGGGCATAGGTGAAGACTGGAGAGGGCAGGAGAATAAAGGGGCTGTAAAGACAGGAGGGGGCGGCATGTCAAGGAAGGGCTATCTAAAGATGTAATGCGGAGTGTGCTGCATCAGGACGTGTGTGCCGCATGGGGCATCTTAGAATGCGTGTCCTTGGGTGGTGGGTGTGTGTTTGATTCTCAGAGAATTTCCAACCTTGGCCTTATAGCTCAGACTCTTTTTCAGGATTAGAAATCAATATTTCCATTTTTAGAACTCAGAGTTGTAGTAAGCATTGATTCAATTCCCAGCTTTTTAGAGTTAACAGTGAAGTGATTAAGTGGCTTATACAAGGAAATAAGCGTATTATCAACATAGTAGGGCATGGAAACATGCCTGGGGAATGTAGTTGGGGTGTATGTAGTAACTGAAAGTCTTAAAAGTCCAAATTACTACCCGGGCATGGTGGTTCATGTCTATCATCCCAGCTACTCAGGAGGCTGAGGTAGAAGAATTGCAAGTTTAAGCCCAGCTTATGCAACTTAGGAGAACCTTGTCTCAAAGTAAAATACTTTAAAAGGGGATGTAGCTCAGTGGTAGAGGGCTTGCCCAGCATGTGTGAGGCCCTGGGTTCCATCCCAGCACTCCAAAGAAAAAACTATCCAAACCATTTATACTAAATAGTAAGGAGATGATAGACAGGAATTTAAGACATGGCAAATCCAAACAAAGGTCTCCCTTCTCAAGCGGGCAAGGAGTTAAGATGTTATTTTCCTCCCAGGCGATATATGAACGCCTTTTTTGTTGGATCGTCACTCGCATCAATGATGTTATTGAGGTCAAGAACTATGACACCACAATCCATGGGAAAAACACTGTGATTGGTGTCTTGGATATCTATGGCTTTGAAATCTTCGACAACAATAGGTAAACTGGTTAAGATCCTTAAAACCTTATTGTTTATTTTTTTGTTTGTTTAAACTTAATTAATCCCTTTTTATGTAGCTTTGAACAGTTCTGCATCAATTACTGCAATGAGAAACTGCAGCAGCTGTTCATTCAGCTGGTCCTGAAGCAGGAACAAGAGGAGTACCAGCGGGAGGGCATCCCATGGAAGCACGTGAGTGCTGGTGGAAAGTGTCTTCTGTGTCTCTATGCTGCTGATAACATTATTGAGCTTGTCCTGCTAGGTATTTCTTGATCCCCTTGGGTACTTGAAACAGCTGAACCTTGGCTTCCCTTTTGAAGATATGTAAATCCAGTTCATTTTCATGGATGTTGGTAGATTTCTCCAACTTAATAGACTCACTCACTAGTGCCCAGAACATGAGGAGTTCAACCAATAAATTTAACGCCACTGTTTGGCTGGGCACCATATGCACTTCTTGATTCATATGTGTCTGCTAGAATTTAGCAGCATTTATATGAGGTATGATCCAAGTATACAGTGAATGTTTAAATTTTTTTAAAAAATGATCACAGTAAAAGACACATTGCCATTAATCCCATCAAGATCTCCCCCACACTTTGAACATACTTATGCATTGTTCTTGCCACATTCTGAAGCAGTTCTGGAAGTCCTCTTTCATGGGTATCTTTAGTTGCACTGTCATGGCTGCTTCCACATCTTGAATTAATTCAATAAGTGTATCTTTCGTGGTTATTTTGACTTTGGGGAAGATCCAGGAGTGACACGGCGCTAGGTCAGTGAATAAGGTAGATGAAGACATATTGGCATGTTGTTATGAGCCTGCCTTTCTGTTGGATGGCACCTGGTAACTGTTTACTGTTAAGTATTCTTCATCAGACCTTGTGAAGACGTGAAAGAGGACTTCCAGAACTGCTTCAGAAAGTGGCAAGAACAACGGGATGAGTATGTCAAAGTGAGGGGCAGTGTTTTGAGAGGAATAATGGCAATGTGTCATTTTACTGTAACACATTTTTAAAAATTAAACATTTACTGTACATTTTTTATCAAATCTCTTAAGTTGTTTTTATCTTAAATTTGTACAAATTTGCTTCCAAATCTTGTTTTTACTCCCTCCCTCTTTCCTTTTCTTTCTTCTTTTACTTTGTAAACTAAATGGCATTTCATTGCCTTCAGCTAATGACAGTTATATTCTCTGAAACCTGCATATTGGGACACCTGCATTATCTTCCATCTCCACTTATTTTCTTTAGTTATCACCCCTCTCCTCATGGCTCTTTGTAAATTTCTTATAAGTGTCTGAGGAAAGTGGTCTGGTCAGAGGTAGTCAGAGAGAATAACAGGTCCACTACAAACCCCAGATATCACAGCTGAAATGAATGACTTGCTTGGCTTCCTTATTGCCCATGATTAAATCTTCACCTCACAAGAGAAGGAAGACTTAGTAACTTTTCTCATACATATTTTAAAACAGTTTTGGGAATGGACTAGAAAAGTACTAACTTCCAAGTTTCTGTAAGTTTCTGAGTATAAAACTGTGTTTATCCTCTAGTTACACAATAAAGTCAAAACTTGTTTTTTTGTATCCAGTGTAGTAGCAGAAAAAAGCCTATTTGAAATGACATATTTAAATTCACTTTATATTCCTTCCTGGCTTCCTATTTTTCTATTTCCTCTCATCCAGAAAAAAAAGACAAAATGGTAGAGTACCTTTCTTGCTTCAAATTGCATCTTTGCCTTCCCATGTGTTAAACACTAAAATATCATAAAAAGTTTCTTCAGAGTGTATTAACATAAATTTTACCTACTTGCAAATAAACCAAAGAGTTGTCAGTTGCTTCATAAAAAAGCAACCTGTAGTTTGTTTTAAACAATGAGCTCTTATCACATTTGAAATGTAATTAAATTCAATTAAGTTTAAATGAATCTTCCTAAGAATGAATATGTTGTATAGTATACAGTATAACCAGAGCTTCTTTTTTTCTTTTAGTTTTTTTTTTTGTTTTTTTCTTTTTTAGTACCGGGAATCGAACTCACAACCTTGCACTTTTTAAGCAGGCACCATGCCACTGAGCTATATCCCTGGCCCAAGCTTCAAATTTTTTAAATCAGATTTCATTATAAAACTTGTTATTTTGATATGATTCAGAGGTACTAGTCAAAAATATCCTTTAACAGTCAATGTCGCATCCACAAGCATAGTTGATGAAGGGAAAATTAACAATTATACTAGGCTATTACAAACATCTGAAAAGGATCAACAACTCTAAAAATGCAAAAATTCTTAGCTAAGTAAACCGAGAAGTACTTATTCTAGAGAACTGAAGGCTAACACCAAGGTAATAGTTACTACATGCAGTTCCCATCAAAATTAGAATCTCTACTAAGGTATTCCTTTAAAACCCCAAACTTCGGAACATAGTGACTTTTTAAAAATTATTTTATATTGGGAAATTTCGAACATACATGCAAGGAGAAATAGTAGAATGGACTCCGTGTGTCCTCACCCAGCCTTAAATTATCAGTAGTTGCCTTTCTCATACTATCTGCACCTTACCCATCTGCCCCTAGGTTATGTTGTAGCAAATCTCAAATATCCCATTCTTTCCTTTGTAAATACTTCAGTATAACACTGGACATGGTGGCACATGCCTATAATCCAAGCCTGTAATCCCAGTACTTGGTAGGCTGAGGCAGGAGGATCACTGTGAGTTCAAGACCAGCCTGCGCTACAAAGTAAGTTCAAGGCCAGCCTGAACTGCATAATGAAACCCTGTCTCAAAAAGATTGAAAAAAAATACTTCAGTGTGTTTCTCTGAAACACAAAAACTATAACCACAATATTCTTGTCACATCTTAAAAATTCCTTAACAACATCAACTATCCAGGCAGTGTTCACATTTCATATTTCCTCAGTTGCCTTGTGGTTGTTGTTGATTACAGTTTTTTGAGTTTGGATCCAAGGAAAGTTTTTACATTGTGATGGGTAGATAGGTCTCTTATATATTTATGGATTTTTCTCCTCCATTTCTGTCTCTCCCCTCCTCCACCACCTTCCTCTCCTTTTTCTCTTTTGCAGTGTTTTGTTGAAGAGAGTGAGACTTTGTTCTGTGGTGGTTCCCACAGTCTGGATTTTGTTAATCCTGTTCCTGAGGTGTCACTTAATATGTTTCTCTGTTTCTTATATGTTCTGTACATTTGTTATTATATTTAGAGTCTTGACTAGATTCTGGATTTTTTTTCCCCATACCCAATTTCATGGACTATGCTTCAGCTTCTGCTATGAGATTCATAATGTCTGGTTACCCCTCTGGTTCATTCACTTTTAAAAGCATTTGATGGTACAGTTTACAAGTCATTTTAACTATGGGAACTTGACACTTAAGTAAACTCTCAAAGCACATTTAAAATGTAATTCAATTAAGTTATATAAACCTTTCTAAGAATATATCTGTTGTATAATATACAGTATAACTGAAACTTAGATTTTATAGCAAATTTCATCATAAAACTTGTTATTCAACTTTCACAGGCATAGCAGATACAGCTATTGCACAAAGCCATTGTATTTGGAGAGGGAATGGGAAGGCAGATCCCGTGTCCCTACGCCATTCCATCACAGCTCTCCAGGCTCCCTAAACCCCTTTAGAAACCTGCTGGGAATGCCAGGTTGTTGGAGGAACCTGATTTGAAAACCACTGCTTTCAGCAATGTTTAAAGCAGCCTTAAGCTTAGAGTTAACTTAAGAGTTAGTAGAGCATACACCAAACACCAATAGCTTCAAATAATGTAATCGGAATTTTAATTTTGTCCTGGAACAAAAGACGTAATCTTTAATTCTGTAGCCCCAAAGTCTACGATAACAGTTATTAATTAATACAGAATTCCTGCTTTTTGAGTACTTTTAGGGTATTTCATCTAGAGATGGAAATAACTTTCCTCTCTATTTGGAAACATAATAGATACCTACAATAAACAGAACTGTTTGAACAGGGCTTCTCCACATTCCCAGTCCATGGGACAAAAGAGAACTCATAAGACCAGGAATAGAGCTGAAACCCACAGTGGTCATGGTCACAGTGGTATGTTTATTTCATCAAATAACTTGTATAACTCTTTGGGTTTTAAAGCGTAGGACAGGAGTATATTTGGCACTTTAACATTTGATTATACAAAGAAAGACCTTCAGAGGGTGATGGGCACAGTGCCTAGCTTAGGTGTGTTCTGTATGACGGGGGATACATCACACCCAAGATTGAAATGTTTGGTAATACACTGCCCATCTTTACGACACACAGCTTGCCTGCGTTAGGCTTGAGTGTGCCCTCTGTGTGTGGTCAGAGGTGTGCTACAGGCTGTCAGAATAAACACATGTAATAGAGGATTTTTGCCCAACCCCTATATATTTCAAAGCTGATAAAGCCAGAAGTTATTTATAACTTCATTCAGTTCATAAAAGTAAATGAAAAGTGCATTATATTTTATATTTACATCTCAGAATTATTTTTAAATATTGTATTCAGAAAATGTCAGAATTGTGTTAGACTCCTGTGTGTTTAACTTTCAAAAAACTGGAGGAAATGCTTTTGTTGTTAGTTGCTCAGCCTCATCTAACTAAAACTGCAAGTTCTGTGTCATAGTTTGACTTCACTATCAAGTGGGATATCGAATAATACATTAAGGTTACTTGTTGGCACTTAGTGGAAGCTGGGTCTTATGGTTCACAGCAAACAGATTGGGGGACTGAGCATGTGAAGGAGTAGGGCTGGGCTGGGATCTGGAGACAGGATTAAAACAAGAATTGGTAAGGGGAGAGATGTTGGCCAGCTTAGAATTTATGACTTGAGCTATCCTCATCTCTCACAAGGGTCTCTTAATGTAAAGCTAAGAAAGAAATTAAATGGGAGGCTGAGGCAGGAAGATCACAAGTTTGAGCCAGCCTGAGCAACTTAGTGGCTTAGCAAGACCCTGTCTCAAAATGAAAAATAAAGAGCTGGGAAAATAGCTCAGCATGAAGGTTCTAAGTTCAGTCCCCACCACCACCAAAAAAAAAGTAAGAAAGAAAAGAAGGAATTATAAAATAGACATCCATTAGAATATGTGCTCATTTAGTGTTAGGCCTCAGTAATGCTAGTCACATATTTGATATCAGGTAGCTTTACCTAAGCCCCTGAAACAAGGGGTAGGAGACCCTTGTGTGACCTAAATAATTGAGAGTGATGCATTTAAAGATGGCACGACTGGTCTCTTGGACATTGTTTCCTCGCCGTGTCCCACAGATTGATTACTTCAACAACCAGATCATCGTGGACCTGGTGGAGCAGCAGCACAAGGGCATCATCGCAATCCTAGATGACGCCTGCATGAATGTTGGCAAAGTCACCGATGAAATGTTCCTGGAAGCACTGAACAGTAAACTGGGCAAACATGTCCATTTTTCCAGCCGAAAGGTAGTGTATTTAATGTGACCTTCCTCTTAATTTAGATGTGTAAGATTTTGCTCACTGTTGGGCAGAGTTAAATGACTATATATGATGGGTTAAAAGAATGTCCACTCTAATAAAAAGAGAGGCTGTAAACATCCATGAATTGATTAATTGCTGTGGTTAAGTTCTGCCTGTCTGGTTTATAGAATGACGAGATTGATAAAATCATAGTGTCCAGGAGAGGGAGCTCCATACCATCCCATGTGCTAGAAATAGGAAAAATGAACATGCTTCTTCAGAAAACATGATGTCATTTACAACCAATAGGCGCAGAGTCCTTGTTCATGTGCTAGAATTTTACCCCTGCATCAGTTAATTCTGGCACAGAAAAGAGCTTTTGTCCTTGACTCTACTGTAATCTTCATGTACAAAATGTGGTATGTGTTGTGCCGTGGATCTTCAGATTGTGTGACTTCTTAAAAACAGAAACTCTGATTGTAATTGAGGTTTCAACAGCGTAACTCATTCTTTCAGTGAATAGGTAGCCGTTTAACTCCCTGTTTTTCACAATTTAAAAATGTCATAAAGAACCCGCATTTCTGTAATAATTGGTGGCAACTATGATTTTTCAGACCTTTGTGTCAGGCTTTGCATATGGCATGTTTACTATCAGTATCTGTTTAGAATGTGTGTTGAGGAGGGGCACACCATCTTCACCCCCAGACTCCTCTACAAATACAGGTTTGTCTTGCAACCAGAAGCTGAAGGGAAGACAGGCTCTACTCCTTCAGATATGCAAGGAAAGAGCCAAAAATTTCTGTTCCTCCATAACTTCACATATATCTGCCCTGCCAGGTTTTTTTTTTTTTAGCATTAATAAATCTATTTTCTGTGTCCCCTTTGAATTACATAATCAGAGGCTAGGGGATATAGCTCAGTGGCACAAGCACCTGCCTGGCAAGTTCAAGGTCCTGAGTTCTATCCCCAGTACCACAAAAAAAAAAAAAAAAAAGGATTTACGGCCCATCTAGGAGCTCGGGATTTAGCTCAGCAACACAGCACCTGCCTGGCAAGAACAAGGTCATGAGTTCAATGCCTGGTACCGGAAAAAGAACCAAAAAAAAAAAAAAAAAAAAGAATTACATAATCAGAACAAGGAAATTCCATAGTTAACTAGATGAAGCATAGAACAATAAGAAATTGATTGCTAGCTAATATTCATTTCAGGCCAATTTTTGTGAAATATTATCCTTGATCTATTACTGAGAATTGACTTCTCACCTGCCACAATTTGACCTCCAGATATGATAGACAGATCTTTGATTTAAGAGGGCTGAACTAGAGGTATTCCTTTCATCATCCTGCAGTTTATACCCCAGATATCTAAGTGATGCCTTTCATGTTCAGGTATAGTCTTCCGTGCTGGGGACAGAACAGTGTGCAAAGTTAGAGGCAACCTAAATAATTTAGAGTGATGCATTTAAAGATGGCATGACTGCACAGGCAAATGTCCTGTCTTTGAAGAACAGTTTATTAATGTTCACTGTAATCACAGTTCAGGTTTTAGAGATTCACCCAGCATTGTGTCTACCAGTAGATACACAGTCAGTGTTGGTAAAGTTGAATTGAGCTGGTCACAGACATCCCAAATAAATGTTATTTAAATCTCCATTTGAATAAATGGATATTAATCTCATTGAAAAATCATATCTACCTCGTTGTGATATCATTCACCCTAGCCATTTATATACCTGAATTAGATTTGTCAACTAAGAACTTTGAAGTACAGTCTTGTTCTTAAGAGCAACTATACATAGTACTTTTAAGCACTTGCCACATGGATTTGATAGAAAATGCCAGACAGTAATTTATCTGTGGAGAGGTCATTTTTTTTTTTTTAAATTATGGAATCCCTGGTTTACCAACTCTCAGACCAATTGGCTGTTTCCTCTGGCTTCTCCAGGACATGTACTCAGATTGCCTGGTGAAGGGGAAAAAATGAAATAGCCAGGCTGTCAAGGTATTTTAATCACTATGAACCTTCTTATTAAATAAATAAAGACAGCCATTAGCCTGTCTGTTGAGCCAGGTATTACCACTTTGCTACTGGTTACTGATTAATTAAACTTAATGTCATATTAAAAAGGGTTTCTGGCTTATGACAGTTATTACATTTAAGAGCTAAACAATTTCTTACACATTAAAGTTATGAAGAAGCATGCAAATGGTCCAATAAACCATAAGATATTTTTAAATAAAAAATTAATTGAGAACAACGTAACTTTTTAAAAGATAAGTAAAGAAAAATCTGAAACTTCTTGTGTTCAGATCAGTTGAGATTTTGCAGTGTCTCCAAATGTAAGAATATTCCCTTGGGTCCTTTTGCTTTAGGAGTTGTATAAATAAAAGGGTTTTGTAAAAGGAGAAAAGAAAAAGTGCATATTGTGGTAATTGCTCTGTATATTACATGCTTTGGTCTCCATAGTTCATTTAACCTTCATAATAGCTCCCTGAGAGAAGTGATATTAAAGGAGATAGAGTGAGTAGATGGTAAGCCAAGGTTTGTACCTCAGAAGTCTGTCTCTACTTTCCTGTAATTGTTCACCTATCAAGTTAATAGACTATCCTGATTGGAACTTTTTGTTACCTAATATTAGAATCTGAGCGGTTTTTATATGTAACCACGCTTGGTGATGTATGGGTTTTCAGATGTCTGCTTTAGAACTGACAGGCTACCCCTTGATCCTTCACAGGGCTGACAAAGTCTAAGGACTGATTTAAGAAGGAAGATTGCAGGAAGTAACAGAGACCTCCAGGGTCATGCAGAAAGTGCCCTCCCATAAGTTATTCCCCAGTAAGAACAGTGAGAAAGAAACGCAGAAGGTTGACCTTCTGTGAAGAGGCTGACCTCAGCGGGAGTCCCAGGCCACTGTGTACGTCAAAGAGCCCAGACATTACGTTCAGTTTCAGAAGTTCTTCCCAGGGCTGCCACTTACTAGCTGTGTGATCACCTTGTCCTGTGGTGGTGAACCAATGGCACATGTGCTGTAGCCAGCTGTTTGTTGTCATTGAAAGCTTAAAAGATTCACCATCACTGACCTAGCCCCCTGGGGCCTCAGCCTCCATGTGTGTATGAGAAAGATCATAATATGTTACTTACTTTAAGTGTAGTTTGTGAGGGCTGCTTATGATGCATGTGCTTAGTGGATAGTAAGCCCTCAGTGTGATCCTCTGTAATATAGGAGGAGAAAGACACCATGTCAGAGTATGCTGAGCTGCATTAAGATAGTAATCAAGATTTGAGTGTCAGAAGAAAGTAGATGTCTGTTTCTCTAATCAGGAACCCAGACTTCTTCCAACATCTGGCTAACCTGTCACCTGACTACCCTCTGCATCTAGCTGGTACAAAAGAGGTCACTCACTTCGTACCACCCTGGGCCTGGAACAGCCACACTTCTCTTGTCCAGAACTTGGTCACTGGGCCTTGTCAACTGCAAGTGTAGCCAGCAGATGACTTCCAACCATGTGGATTTCTGATAAGAGTTACCACATAAGCCAGATTTTTAAATCAAACCCCACACAATGTGATTTCATTCATGATGTCATGATTTGTGACATTATGATCATCCTGTAATAAGATAGACTACACTTTTAGGAAACTGAAGATGTCTGTTTTCAAAATATTCTCCTTCTTGATCTCTTAGCTCTGTGCCTCAGACAAAATCCTGGAGTTTGATCGAGATTTTCGAATCCGGCATTACGCAGGTGATGTGGTGTAAGTGTCTTACTTCACTACCTAGCATGGGGATTTGCATGTGGTATCAGTCGCTCACTTTACTATCCAGCGCGGTGATTTGCATGCAGCCTCACTTCAGAACATGTGACCAGGGAAGCTCTCAGCTGTTTTCATTTCATGTGCCAGTGTGTTTTAATCTTTTCATTTGTGAAAAAAATGGCATAGCTCAATTCATTGCTTGCTTTTTAAACATTTACAGAATACATACTAAGTACATTACAATAAGAAAGAACAGTAGAGGGCTCTCCCTTTGTGGGAGGAGCTAAGAGTAAGCTGGGTAACTGCATAAGCAAAAGCTGTTTTACTATATTATTTTTGTTTTTCTTCTGGTACCAGGAATCGAACTCATAACCTTGCGCTTGCCAGGCAGGGGCTTTGCCACTGAGCTTAATCCCCCTCCCCTTACTATATTATTTTAACGCCATTTTTATTTTAATGCCAAGTTGTTTTACTGTATTATTTTTCAAGTAATAAAATGCTTATAAGACACATTTTCTGATTGCAGTAAAAGTAGAGGTTGACATAAAAATACAACTACCTTGATATCTTAGATCCCAAGGGCTCCTATAACAAATTATCCTAAATCAGTGGCTTAAAACACCAAGAACATACACATTCACAGTTTTGGGGCCCAGAAGTTGCAGATCAAGGGGTTGGCAGGGACCGCACCCCCTCTGGAGGTGCCACTAGAGGAGAATACGGCCCCTTTTTTCAGCTCTTGGCGGCTGTGGGCATTGCTTGGCGTCTGATTGCACCACTCTAGTGTCTACCTCCTCTTCTCTGCATCAGTTAAATCTCCCCTGCTTTTACCTTAGAAGAACACTTGTCACCCCTCCGAATACTACAGGATAAGCTCCTCCTCTCAAGATCCTACATATAATCACATCTCACTGTAGAAGTGCATATTCCTGGGCTCTAAGGGACAACGTAGGAATCTTTTGTTTGAGGAAAAGGGTCATTTTTCAGCCTACTAAATTTGTATGTTTTCTCTGTTCACTGAACACTGCTCTTCATACTGTCTGATGTGCTCTTTTCCTTTTTCCTTATTTTTCACATTAGAAATTCTATTTCTAATTATAGGAAGAGAGGAAACAAGAAAAAAAGCAAATAATCATTTCTATAAATGCTGAAAAGACATTTGAAGCATTTTAATAGCTATTCCTTATTTAAAATAAAACTCTAGAATCATAAGATAATGTGCCTTAAATTCGTTATGCCAGCTGTCAAACTAGCCATCAGTCCTGGACTAGCACCAGTTTCCACTTTCTCTGGTCCTTTTCCCAGGTTCCACAATACCAAGGAGAGAGGATCCAGTACCAGAGAGATACTCACTGAAAATCCAAGTCTCACTTGTACAGGGCTTTGTCTTTTAATGCAGAGCAGCGTAAATGCAGAGCTAGACAGAGGCCCTCAAGACCCCCAAGTCCAGCCTCTTTATTTTACAGAGTAATAAACTTATGCCGAAGAAGTAAAACTCTCGCCCACGGTCACATAGCAAGTTTATGAAAGAACTCAGACAATGTACAAGACTCCTCCAGTCCAGAACTCTGCTGTTCAGTGCTTATGGCTTCTTTTTCTCTCCTTAAACCTTTCAATCTTTTTCTGGATTTTTACTATCTTCTGTGTATACAATACTTTATAAGGCATGGTCTCTGCCTGCAAACCTGCAAAGAGATTTCCATGCAAGATAGATGGATAGATAGATAGATGATAGATAGTTGATAGATATATAGAGTTGTGTATATCTGCAAACACGTATGCATACATATATTCCTGCAATAAAAGATGGTCTAAAATAATTGCCATATGAATAATAGCAAGAGTTGTCAGAATTCAGAGTAAGGAAACAATATAATACTCTTACATGTTTTGGCAAACCCAGGGAGGCTGATGCATCTTTGGATGTGGGGAATTGTTTTATAAGAAATAGGAAAGGTGCTAAATAGTATTTAGGAAGTAGCAACTAAGTCCCTTTAGTTGGTTTAGTTGGAGTTACTCATTCTGTAGCACAGGTTAGAAATACCTGGGAAAGTAGATTGAGGTCAAATCACAGTGAGTCTTGAAATCCAAACTAAGGACTTGAATTTTCTTTTTTTTTTTTTTTTTCCTGTACTGGGAATCGAACTCATGACCTCACACTTGCCAGGCAGGCGCTCTGCCACTGAGCTAAATCCCCAGCCCGGACTTGAATTTTCGATTGTTTGGGTTTCAATAAGTTAAGAGTCAGCTGACCTCAGAATTCAGTCAAAAGTGACAAGAAGGTGTTAGGAAGGAGACCTAGGTTGAGGCAGATGAGGAAATAATTGTGGACATGGTGACTTTCAAGTGTCTGTGGGCAGCACAGCCTAAAAGAATTTTCTTGCAACTTGGGCATGGTGGCACATACCTGTAATCCCAGCACTTGGGAGGCTGAGGCAAGAGGATCCCTGTGAGTCCGAGGCCAGCCTAGGCTACATAGCAAAATCCTGTCTCAAAAAAAAAAAAAAATCTTGCAGAATTAAATATGTAAGGCAAGGAGTCAGGGCTAGAGAACTGCAAATTGTCTACATTGATGTGATTGTTAAGGAAGGAAAGGTAGACAGGCAAGAGAGCAGAACGTGACCAGAGGCTGCCTGGAGGTTTACCCAACTTCCAGCCTCTGTTTCATCACTCACAGCCAGGGTCCCTCTTCTACACAGTACAGAGGGTTCTCCTAGAGGCCACACCAGTCACTGCAGCACCGCAGCTCCCACACTTACTCTTCTCATGGGTACCATCTCAACTGAACTTTCAGTCCCTTTCTCTCCTCTTCCTTCTAACCCTGTATTCTGAGCTCATTTCTTTCCAGAGCTTCTGCATGTGCCTGCTTCCATCCTTTTATTCTGTCTGTTTCCTTGTGTGATCTGCCTGCCTTTTTCTCCTCTGCTTACCCAATTCTCACCATCCTTTGCAGTTCTTCTTGGATTCTTTTATCCTACCCTGAACACTGACTGATGCTTAGGTGAGTCACTGACCTCCTAGCAGATGAGACAATTAGCTCCTGTGTGTTGCTTTTATCTTAGGAAACCTGAATGATAAATACAGCTATCTTTTTAAAAGTCATTTTCTGGAGGTAAGCAATAACCTATAGAAAATTATTATCTTAGAATGATGGGCTGCTGTTGGCTTTCCTTCTAAAAAGGAGAAACAAAGTCTCTTCTACTTAGTAAATTGGATGTCCTTTAACCCGGAACCAGATAGACAGTACCAGCTTTTTAGATGATTGATTGCATAATTAATACTGGTAGAGCTTGTAGACTCCTAGAAAAGCTTAGCTGTGCTCTTGTGTGGGAAATAATGCGTGTTTTCTGTTTTTTCCCCTCTGTTAGATATTCTGTCATTGGTTTTATTGACAAAAATAGAGACACTTTATTTCAAGATTTCAAGCGCCTCATGTATAACAGGTATGGTTGATACTTTCCTAGTTACCTTCTCACTAAGCTCTTTGACATATATTGAATGGTATATATACACATAATTATTTTTATGTGACAATTTTAAGAGTTACTGGCAGACTTTCTATTTCTACTTTATTATGCTTATCAAATGAAAAAATATAAGACCTTGAGATTATAAAACCAATAAACTTAGGCACAAAGACCCTGATGTGGCTTTGATTTCCCTTGGGGTAGCCTTCATTTCTGTGTTTATCGCCACCAGCCTTCTGGAACCCCTACCAGTGTACTAAGTAGTCCCCAGGCCAGGCCAATGGTGACAGAAACGTTCAGTACCCTCTGGGCTCACCTGAAAACTATGTATTCAGATTCCCACTGAAGTGTTTCGCTGCCAAAGAGACACCTCTCTCAAATCAGACTGGTGCCTAATGTCGGTGAGCAGCAGTCCTAACTGAGCAGTTTTCTTACTAATGAGCCGCATGTGAAAGGGCCGGGCGAAATAAAACCAGGCAAATGATCCCAGGTTTAAATTCATTACGGAGAGAAAAGAAGAGAATTCTGGGAACTGTATTTACTCAGAAATCAAGGCTGATGCCTGAGCTTCGTATGAGAAGACAAGAGGTGGAAAGTCGAGAGTTTTGTTTGGGGTGTGTTACGTTTGAAGTACGTACTGGGCAGGCGGTTGAAGATGCCAAGTAGGCTGTTGACATGTGTGCATCTGCGCCTCAGGAAAGATGGGGATAGAGACACCAGTTTGTGGTTGTCAGCATATTGATCGTATTTAAAACCTTAAGACTCCAGGAGGTGATCTAGGGAGTGGATGTAGACAATCCCTTAGACTCCAACATGCAGTCAAGGAGAGAAGGAAGGATTAGCAAGGAAACTGAATGTTCCATCGAGGGAGAAAAAAAAGAACAGAAAGCCCAGCCAAGGAAAAAATGCTTTAAGAAAAAACGATAAGCTATGTCAAATTCTACCAAAAGCAGGAATGGTACAAGGACCAAGATTGACCATTGCATTTGCTAACTTGAAGGTCAGGGGAATTCTTGACAACACTGTTTCCAGGGAGCAGTGAAGTCAGATGTATGACTGACATGGGCTCGAAAGGATACAGGAAACGGGAATGCAGAGACAAGATATTTAAACAGTGATTTCAGTTTAATTTGCTAGAAGATGATTAATTTTTGTGGATGTTGAAGCCACCAAGAACAGTGATAGAACTATCACTGTAAGAAAGTTACAGAGACGTAGGAAAAGAGTCCATGTAAGAGCCAGGCATAGGAAACAAACTGCATTAATCAGGTAAAATGCACCCATTTTGAGGAACAAATTAAACAGTCTAGCATTTTTCTATATAGAAAATGTTAAAAACTCAAATTGGAAAAATAGCCTGACTTAGCCAGTGGCAGTGTCACAGTGTGTTGCTGGGCTTGTGTACTAAGAGGGTCACAAAATGCTATGTTACTTTGGTGACTTCAACAGCTTCGTCATGCCCCAGAGATTCTGCTCACTGAGAACAGCTGTAGCTTTTAGTGGTGGACCAGCATTGCCCAAGCCCGCAGGACGTAAGAACAAAGCAGTATGTGGATTTATTTCCAGTGAAAAATCTAATAGTCACATGGGATGCAATACTTGTAGTAGGGCGACAGGCTACTTTTCCCTGTTGGAAAAGCTGCTCAAGATGTCAAATAGCAGTGAGAAATCTCATTTATTAATTGACAGAGAAAAATGTTATCCATGGAATCCAGGCTGCTTAGTTGCTTGGTAAGCACAGAGACAGAACAAAGGAGCTTAGATGAATCTCACAATTAAAGACATCAGGCTAAGGGAATCCATTTTACAGTGGGACTGGACTTGCCAAAGGGTAAAAAGATGGCAGGTCTGTTGACTGCAACTGATCGCCTGTGTCTCCACAGTGGGGAAGCCCTAACCTGTAAGACGGGAAGTCTTGACATCTTTTCACTTAAATCCATCTGCCTAGGTGATATTCAGATGGGCCGTGTTTACCTCTAGACATTTTTGATGCTTCAGTGGCTAACCAACCCCCCAAATTTGACTCCTATTTTTATTTATATATGTTAATGAGTGCAGTCCTCAGATTTGTAGTTCTGTAGATCATGTATATGTGTGTATATGTACGCACATGTGGGGGTGGGGGGAGATCTGCCTTACCTTTTATACAAACTGGGTTTCTGGATGTGTCCTTTTTTTTTTTTTTTTTTTTTTTGTACTGGGGATGGAACTCACGACCTCACGCTTGCCAGGCAGGCGCTTACGCCACTGAGCTATATCCCCAGCCCCTTGGATGTGTCCTTTTAAGAAAAGGGTTCTGGTATTTTAAATGTCTGAAAACATTTTGTTAATATTACATGCATGACATCCTGGCTTGAAAGTGCATCCTCTTAAAATGACCCTATGAATCTGTATAGATTCCTTATGTATCAGTTCTATTTTAATATATGGTCTTATTTCCTTTATTTTTAACCTCCCCCTTCTTCCATTTATAATCGTAGTGTGAGAATATCCCAGTATGGCAAACAGTAAGGTGAGGAAGAATTTGAGGCTTGACCTGGTGGCACATGGCTATGTTCTCAGCACTCAGGAGGCTAAGGCAGGAAGCTGACAAGTTCCAGGCCAGCCTGGACTACCTAGTAGGACCTTGTCTCAAAAGACCCGCAAAACAAAACAGAACAAAACACCAATTTGGAGTAGTAGAAACTGCCTAGACCTAACGCAGTGACCCTCAGTCCTTTAGCATGTGTTAGCATTTTCCATATACACAAAGGATGGTTTTATACCTTCTGCAAATTCTGTCCAGTAGGTGCTCTAAAAGGATCCAGGCACTATGTGCACTAGATGTGAAGCAACATTACCTTAAGTTATTTCTGTGTTAAAAATAAGAACGGAAAAGTTAAAGGATGACCAGGTGTGGTGGCAAATGTCTGTAATCCCAGCATTCAGAAGGCTGAGGCAGCAGGATTGCTGATAGCTTGAGGCCAGTCTAGCCTACACAGTGAGTTGAAAGACCAGCCTGAACTACAGTGAGGCCCTTCTCAAAAACCAAACCAAACCAAACCAAACCAAAAAAAGTTAAAAGAAAAACAATGTATGTTTATATGGCCATTTTTATCGATACAGACATACCATTGGGAAGTTATGCGGTAGGACTATAAAGGAGTCCAGGAGCCATAGATCGCTGCGGTGACAGTGAGGGGCAGGAGTGCTGTGCTGTCTGCATTCACAGACTCATCAATCCTACATCACCATCACCTCCATTCTATTGTCCGCCACGCTTTCTTTTTGCAGCTGTTAGTTGGAGCACCTGTGTAGCAGAAATTTACTAGGTGTGTTAGGGAGCCAACTCCATTTTCTCAATATTATACAGGGGAAGGAAAAGTGGGCAAAAAGATAGCAGTTGTAAGCACAGTTAGCAACCAACACCCATATTCTTTTCTTTTTTCAACCCTCAAATTTTAAGAAAAATGTGTATGACAAGAGGAGAGTTTCCAGGAACCAAGTGACATTTTAAGTTCCAATTACTTCAAAGTGAAAAGTACTAAAATGAAACAGGAACAGAATCACAGTTGAGATCACCACATGTTTTTAAAAATATCTCCACAGAGCCAAACAATGAATATATGTTTTTAGATGGAAGTTGGCCTGAAGTACAGTTTTAGAATTGGATTGCAGCAGTCCTACTGTCACATCAATAAGATACTGTAACTGCCAGTGCCACCTGTAAATGTGCTCATAAATTCACCTGCAGTGAGGGAATCTGCTGGAAGACAGTGTAAAAATGGTTACTTTATGTTCCTCCTCTGTATTTTTAGAAAGAGCTGCCTTTTGCACCGTTACCTGTTCTGAGTATTTCGTTCAATAATGCTTTCTGCCATGAATTAAGGATCATTGTCCTACTAGCGGTTTGTCCAACCATCACAAAGTCACTTGTTTTCTGTATATATTATAAGAGCCGTGTTAAAAATTGGTTTAGTTTCAAAGTAATATAGATGTCACTTTTTTAAAGTTTAAATAATTTTTAAATGTGCTATCTTTGGGGAATATTTGTAGTGCAGTATCCATCATTATATCAGCATAATTTTCTGGATGGGATAATTTTTCCAATTAGGTCTTGTAAGTTCAGTCCAGGTGTGACTTCCAGGGTCCAGTTCAGCAGGATTACTTAGCCATTTTTATTCAACTTAATTGAATGCAACATTTGAATTGCTCTTCTGTACTTCTCAGTTCAAATCCTGTGCTGAAGAATATGTGGCCTGAAGGTAAACTGAGCATTACAGAGGTGACCAAGCGGCCCCTGACCGCTGCCACCTTGTTCAAGAATTCCATGATTGCTCTAGTGGACAATCTTGCATCGAAGGTAATTATTTTCTTTTCTAAATACCCATTTTAATACACAGATTCTCTCTGGATGTATATGATTTGCTTTTTAGGTGATTATTTTTAATTGTAATAAAATCTTTATGCCTGTTTTTAAAAACTGAGTGAAATAATGGTTTGCATCTCAATGCCTTCCTTAAATTTGAGATTTTTATTGTACTGTCATGATCATGGGGGAAATCTTAATGTTACCTAAAATATAAATAAGGTATACTATGCCTGGAAAAATGAACTTCAGCCCGGTACAGAAAACGGGTCATGGCAAAAAGGAAAATCGTGAATTAAATTGTAGTAACATACCTTCCATATTCTGTGTGTACATACTAAATGGCCAGAGGGAATTTTAACAAGTAAGTATATTAAGTATTATCTTTAGACTGTTTTAAATACTTGAAATATAAAGATACATTGTTAATTATTTCTGCTTTTTATTGTTCTTTTGATTCTAATACTACTTGATAAGCTACGTCTGGGTCTCTTTCTTTCTTTCTTTCTTCCTTTCTAATTTTTCCTTGAAGAACAGATTTCTACTCTTAACTGCTGCTGTTGACAAGTTTGATAAATTAGGCAGCATTCGGAGACTCATTATTTTTACTTCCTTCATTTTTATCGTTCTCTTCTGGTGCTTCTCCTGTGTATTTTGTCCTTTGTTACTATCTTTTTTTTAAAAAAATCAATTTCCTAAGAATTTAAATTTAAATCTATACTATTACTGTTACTTCACTGTGGATAAATTAGGCAAATGCCACAAGAGCACATCTGTTCAGTAGCTTTCTATTCCTTTTATCAAGATTCTTTGGCCTCAAGTGACAGCGAATAATCACAGTTTGTTGGCTTGTGTAATCAAATCTCCAGAAGGGCAGGGGTGCGCACCTCTCTCTCTGTCACCTCCAACCTGCTTCATCCAGCAAGGAGGAAAGAACCTAGAAAGAAGTCACGTGACCCAAAAAGAGCTGAACACTGCATTCTTAGGTGAAATATAGTTAGTGAACTAGAAAAAGGATCATTATTTTGTTTTCTAAATTTGATAGATGTCCCTTTTTAAAAAATTAAAATTCTAGAACCTTCTGTAAGTTCTATATCAGAAATTGCATTTAGCTGCTAGTGAAAGAGATCACCAAAAGGTGGCCTAAACGAGAGAGAAGTGTGTTTTCTCCACCCCGTAGATGAAGGTAGGAAGCATCCCGGACTGCAGCAGCGGCCTCAACGTTCCTGGGAACCCAGGTTCCTTCCGGTGTTCTGCATGGTGCTTGTGCTTGGCCTCCTTCCTTCTGCGAAGATAGCAGCTAGAACTTCTCTTCCAGGAGGCTTCCTGGGAGTCTCACGCAGGCCTCAGCTATGTCCCTTTGCTCCATGTAGGTGCCAAGGTGGTTGGAAAGGGTTTTTGGTTTGGGGGTTTTTTTTTTCCCTTTTTTTTTTATTCCAGTCAGCAGTGCACCAATCTAGACATAAGAATTCTATTTCAAAGTAGGTAAAAGTTATGAGCTATGAAGTAGGCAACTAGCCTAGCAGTCTCTGCAGCAGCTTCCCAGTTTGGGGGATGGGATGTAAGGGAAAGACGGAGTAGGGCAAGCAAGAGAATATAGACAATTTAAGTTTGGGGCGGGCAGCAAATATAAAACACTAGATTTAGAAAATATAGCTGGGTGTGGTGGCCCATGTCTGTAATCCCAGTACTGTGGGAGACTGGGGCAGGAGGATTGAAATTTCAAGCCCCTCAGGGGGAACTTAGTGACGTAATGAGACCCTGTTTCAAAATAAAAGTGAAAAAAGGACTGGAGATGTAGTTCAGTGTGAAAGTCTAAGCTCAGTCCTCTGTCCCAGGAAAGGAAGAAAGGAAGGGAGAGAGGAGGGGATAATATGGTACAAATACAAGGTATGATTGCAAAACATGGTGAATGTTTACATTTTTTTAAAAAATCATTGCAGTAAAAGATGCATTGCTGTTAATCCCCTTTAAAATCGTCCCTCTGGCTTCAAACACACTTACCACATCATTTTTGCCACTTTCTGAAGAGTTCTGGAGTCTTCTTTCAGGAGTCTCTCAAGTTGTCCTGTCCAGGCACTCTTGGTATCCTGAACTGATTCACAGTGTTCAACTCTGACGGTCATTTTGACTTTTGGGAAAAGCCAGAAATCTGATAGTACAAGAGCCTGTGAGTAATGTGGATGAGCAAACACTGTAATGTGAGCCTGCTTTTCAGTTGGATGCATTCAGCAGCAGCATTAACCATATTTTTTTATCACACCTCATAATGATACTCCCGAAAGAGAAAGAGTTCTAGAACTGCTTTAGAAAGGGGCAAGAACAATGAAGCAAGGGACAACTAAGGGCAATGTGTCTTTCACTGTAATAATTTTTAAAATTTACATATCACTGTATATTTAAATCATACTCATAAAGCTATATAGGGCCGGGGATGTAGCTCAGCGGCACAAGCTCCTGCCTGGCAAGCACAAGGTCCTGAGTTCAATTCCTGGTACCAAAATAAATAAATAAATTGAATAAAGCTATATAATTGGTTTTTATCATAAATGTAAATATTCTAAGTGGACTACTAGATAGGTAGAAAATCCAACTCTATGCTGCTTACAGGAGACACACCTAAATAACACTATTCAGAAGGCTTTAATATAAAGAGATACAAGTGGAGAAAGATATAGCAAGCCATCCCACATAAAAAAATTATTGAAAGTATTAACCACTTATCAGTACAATTATTAAAATACAGGATGACCAAAGATTGCATATTTTTGTTAATTTTATAAGATAACAGGAAATATAGAAAGGACAATTTTATCAAATTTATTCAATACAAGAATCAACTGGTTGAAGTGACACGTGCCTGAGTAATGCTTGGGATAGCCGGTACATAAGCATGCTGCCCAAGTGACTCTCAGGGTAAACTGTTAAGTGGTCAGTGAAAAAGCAGAATTTAAGGATATGTTAACAGATATAAACTAGTAATCACAAAACAAAAATATCAAAGACAAAACCATTTGAACTGGGTATCTAACAGCATAGCCATAATCATTATAGATTCCATAAAGCCAAAACATAAAAATCTTAAAACATATTTAAAGAAAAATCAATAAAGCTGGGCATGGTGGTGCACACCTGTAATCCCAGTAGTTTGGGAGGCTGAGGCAGGAGGATCACAAGTTCAATCCCAGCCTGGGTAACTTAGCAAGACCCTGTGACAAAATAAAAAATATATATAAAAGGGCTGGGGATGTAGCTCAGTGTGAAGACCCTGGGTTCAGTACTCAGTACTGAAAAAAAGAAAAGGGAATTAGGGGAGAGAGAGAAAAAAGAGGGAGAGAGAGACAAAGAGAGGAGAGAGGAAGAGAAAGAGATCAGTAAGTCCAATCCTAGAGGAAGATTTAAAATCAGTTCTGCCAAAAAGTGATAGAGTGAGCAGACAAAAGATAGAATGCAGAAGCTTTCAAAATCAAATTCAAACTTTGTCTAGTACATAAAAAGAACCTTATACCTGAGGATTAGGAAACATGTTCCTTTCAATATTCCTTTCAACATTTTCAAGAATTGACCGCATGCTAGATCACAAAGGAAGACTCAACTATTTTGGAAGGTTATATATAGATACATTGCCCATCCTCAAAGCAAGTGAAATGAAAGCATTTTTAATGTCTTTGGGAACTTTTAAAAAATGCTCTTTTAAGTAACTCACAGATTGAAGAGGAACTCACAATGGAAATAAGAAAATATTTGGAACAGCTAGACAAAGAATTTGTCAAAATTTGCAGGGTACTGCTAAAGTGATCTATATTTTATGCCTTTATATAATAATAAGATTGAAAATAAATGAGTTAAGTTCAGCTCAAAAAACCAGAAAAAGGATTCCAAAGAAAATAATTTTAAAACAGAAAATTCAAAAATAATAGAAGAATCAAAAAAATAGCCAAATGGACAAAGCTCTAAAATATCGATAAAGAAAGAACAATATTGTGGCAGAAAAAGACCTCTAACTGCAGATGATACCATAGAGATTTTAAGAGTAACAGCATATTGTGATTGGATGCCAATCAATTTAAAACTTTAGTTTTTCTAGGAAAATGTATCCAAATCAATTCAAGAAGAAATAGAAAATCTGAATAAGTCAGTAACTTTAGAGATTCTGAACCACTAATCAGCTGTCTGTGCTCCCCCAACTCTGCCAAGGACATCAGGCCCGGATGGTTTTACTGATCAGCTTTGTAAAACTTTCAAGGAGCCAATGATCCTTATCATGTACAGACTCTTAGATGAGAAAAGAGGCCACTACCCAACTCATTTTATGAGAGTAATATTACTTTAATACAAGATGAATATGAGAAAATAAAATGAGAGCTCTGTTAACATAGGAACATAGATGAAGAGATCTTTAAAAAAATATATAGATAGGTAGATACATCGATAGATACATAGTTAGATGAATAATGCATTTTCTGACAGCATGTTAAATGAAGTACCTACTGATGCCAACTGAAAATAGCTAAAATGCTAGGTAAAATACAAAAATCCGTATCTTAAAAGCAACTGTGAACTAACAAAAGTAAGCAATATGCAAGCCAGGGGCTGAGTGAATACAGAAGTTAACAGTGAAAGGAAAATTAACCAGAGCTCTGCCTTTTACCTTGCAGTGATGCCCAGAGTAGAGTGTCTTACAAGAGATTCTACACACACACACACACACACACACACACACACACACACACACAAACAGGTCAGTCTTCAAAGGGCTACCTCTAGAGTGAACTAGAGTTAATCTCAGGGTCCTGGACCTTGCCACTGGACCAATGAATGCTGGGGTGCGGGTGTTACAAGTTACCTTCTATGAAGTTTTTAGCCCTAACTCGTAGTACCTGGGTGGGCTGCAAAAGCTTCACATTAATAATTTAAAGTGATTCAGGTCTCGCATTGCCCTTAGGCATATGAAAGTCAAGCACAATTTATTTTCTTGAGGAAACCACCTTTACACCATACCTTAAAGAATTTTCATAGGTAAGTTCCAAGGAAAATAAGGAGCTCTCCCCTTAAAGAATCATTACAAGAAGGGGGACTGTAGGCCAGAGGAAAGCAGTCAGGAAGGAGGAAGAGAAGAGGGTCAGGGAGAATAATGGGCCAGGGGATGTGACTGAAGTATGTTACATGCATGTATGAAAATGTCACAGTGAAACTCAATACTTATATAAGTAATATGCACTCATTTTTGAAAAGAATCAGTACAAGATACCATACACTAGAGTGACACTAAATAGCAGCAACTTCAGACTCATGAAAATTTCTGGTACCGGAATGATCAGAAACAATAAATAATATGTAGTATGTCACAAGAAGTGAGAGGCCTGAAAATATGAGAAAAAAACAAGCAACTAGACAATTAATAGACATAAAAACTAAATTTAAAGCTGGGCAGGTAGGTTTAATATTAGAATTTAGACAAAGCTAAAGAAAAAATAGTAAAATGAAAATAAGAATTGAAGAAACTATTCAGAATTTCTCTTAGAACAAGAAATAAAACCAATACAAGAAACACCAAGAGAGTGGAAAATGAACGGAAAGGTCCCACAGGCATCTGCTCAGACATATAGTAGGAGAGGAAATTACAAAGCAATGTTTAAAGAAATATTTCTATAAACATTATAAGACATCACTTAACAGAATCAGGAAGCCCAGTATATCCCAGGGTGGAAACATTAAAAGAAATCTATATGTTAACAACCAGTGAAGTCCCAGAACATCAAAGACAAACTATCTCAAAGTCGATCAGGGAAAAGATAGACTAGCTCCAAAGGAATTACAAGCTGAATGAAAATAACTGTAAACCAAAAATTCTATACCTAAAGAATGTATTTTTCAGGCCAGGATATAGCTCAGCAGTACAAGTGCCTGCCTGGCAAGCGCTAGGTCATGAGTTTAATTCCCAGTACCAAAAAAAAAACGTATTTTTCAAGAACAAAAGCATCTTTCTAAACACTGGGTTTACCAATATTAAAACCTCAAGAAATTTTAAAAGCTATACATCAGGCAGTAGGAAGAATACAGATACAGTAAATAAGAGTTTGAAATGCAAGTAGAGAGAAGAAATTGGTAAATGTATTGATACATTATAAATAATCTCTATTAAAAATACAGGTTGGAGTTAGATGGCATAACAATAGCACATAATTGGAAGTTTGAATAATGGTAACTGAAGTGCTTAAAGTCATTAGTTTTGTAGAAAAATAATAAAAAATATGGTTAAAGTTTTAACTCTGTTTTAAAAATGCATGTTAAATTTTTCTAAGATGATTATTAATACAGTGGCAATAGATATTTTTAACTTCCAAACAAATAGAGGGAAAAGAAAAGAAAAAGTGAGTAAAAATAGCCCTAAAAACTTACAGAACAGAAGGCAAAAAACAGAAACCTGAAGCCAGTGAAGAGGGCAGAAGTGAATCCAGAGATCAGTAGCTACACTGAATATAAGTAGATAAAAATTGCCAAATCAGATTAAAGAAAACACTGTCCAGCTACAAGGTAATTACTAATGACATCCAAACATAAGAAAACAGAAAAGCTGAACATCAAAGTTCATAACAGACAAGTTCAAGTGGTCTGGGTCCCCTTTATCCAGCGTCAGGATGTGCAGAAGTAGCTCAGTGATGAACGGCTGTCCTTAAGAGCCTAGTGGTTCTCCGATCATCTCCAGCTCCCTGGCTTAACTCCTCAGGCTTCCATACCAAAGTACTGTACAGTGCCCGCTGAAAAGCTCGGGTTCCAACTCCCACCCAGCTCACCCCACCAGATCAGTGGCTCTGCTCAGCCGGTGACTGTTGTTGATCAGCAGCAGCTTCTGAGACAAAAGCAGCCCTGGGGGCTGTGCTCCCTCCTTGGATTGTAGTCCTCTTCTGACCTTGGTCAGATACTTCCTATCTTGTTGGGTCTGTGGTGCATGTAAGAGGACAGTTTCCCCATATTTCATCTGACACTTGTTCTTTAGTGACTTGGTCAAGAAGGTCAGTATGTAGGACCTGGTCCTCTCTTACCAAAAGAGACTCCTTACTTCCTCAGAGTCCATCCACATGGTGTGTTAAGTGCATGCTCTATCTCCTCATCTAACTGTCTTTTGAATATAGAGAATAGGTTCTATTA